GAGTTTGAGGTTGCTGTGAGCTGTGATGCCATGACACTCTACCAAGGGTAACAAAGTAAGACTCTGTCTCATAAATAAGTAAATAAATAAATAAATAAAATATGCATAATGGCAAAAAACGACAATGCTTTTAAATGATTTTGTGTTTCATTATACTAGTATATGTTTTTGTTGGTCTTTTGTTTTTAACTGGAAATCCTCTTTTGACTGGTATCCGTATATATTTGAAAACTACTGGGATGTGTGCGAGAGAAATATTTTAGACCGTAGACAGGGCTTGGTGTGTGTACATTCATCCAACTCTTCCACTGGCTCCCTGTCCATAGGTTAGAAGTAACTGGTTTAGATAATGTTAGTTCCTTCTTGAACTGTTTTAACTGTTTGAACATATGTTTATGCAATGTATATTTAGCCACAATTCTGAGGGATCCTGTGTAATTTTTAAAAAATCCTCCAGTGTCCTTACGTTCAAATCTGTTCCTTCTAATTTTAAAAATTCATTTTCTTCAGAAAGTTTCTTCATTAAGCTCCAAACATTTATTCATTCCACCATTTTCAAGGACAGCGAAGATATATGTTTCCAAATATAGTGGTATGCATTACTATATAAAAATAGGATCCACATTTTTATATGCAGTTTATATGTGTTCTTTCTTGATCTCTTAAGATTATAAGTTTATATGACTTGTGGGACTTAAGTTATATGCCTTAACTATGCCTTTTTAATTTTTCTATTTCCATATATACCAGTTAATATTAACTATACTAATTAACATTAGAGCCACCTGCCTGAACAATAAAAAATTTTAAACTAGATTGTTAACATTTAAAGACACATCTGTGTATTTCTGTGTAAGTCTAGCTGTAAGAATACTGAATTTTTACAGCAGGAAAACAGAAGAAGGACTTGACTTTCTTTAAATAAAATTTTCTTAACTAAAATCTGAAAGTAAACAGCTGGCAGTTGCTGTCTTGGGTGGGTGGTGGTTTCTCTTTTATCAGCAGCAGAATGTTCTGAGCCTTCTGCCAGGAGTCTGACTGCAAATGTCTTTGGGTGGTAAAGTGGGCGAGAATGTGGCTAATGCAAAAAAGGAAAAAGCCAAAAGGAAAAAAAAAATCCACTTCCTTTAAAAAAAAAAAAAAAAAAACTCACCTGTCATTTGGACCTACCTACAGAAAATAATGTTAAGTATTTTGTGGCTAGCTAAGACAAGCACTATAAGAATAGGCAGATGAATTTAGAATTCTCCTTTTTTACTGGAGTATACAGTTGGAAACTTGTTAGAGAGTTTGGAAAATCCTCCTCCCACTTAAGAGCCAAAAAAAAGAGCACAATGATTTTCCAAAAAAGATGGCGAAGTTAAATGCATATTATAAAATATTTTAAACTTTTCTGTGGTTTCACATGCAGGAAATGAACATGCAAGTTTATAGAAGCTGTGTCACTGTTTTTCTGAAGTGCTAATAAAATTATGCTTTGAGTTACCTGTCATTTATACTTCCTCTCCCTGAGTGGATGTTTTCATAGTTACATAACAGATTTTATATGTAGTTCACTTTGACAGTAATATTTCATCATGCAGTCTGGAGAAGGAAAGTTTTTTAAAGTGGTTTAATTATAAATTAGAAGCCAATC